CACATTGAGAGGTTGGCGACCACTGCCTCACATGTACTTAACCCATTACATCACCTATAAGCAACTTGCTATATAACAAAATTAGGTCATATTTTACAGTAATCACGTGAGTTATTATGTAACATGAAAGTTATTTTGTTATGTAACACGGAACTTCAATATGTAAATGATACATTTACGTTACATGTTTATGTTTGCTGGGGTTTGACCAACCCCTAAAATAATTTTAATGTGCCCAAGTTATGGATCTTTATTGTGCACTCATGTAGATATACCATTTTTTCCAAGTCAAAATTCAATTTCCAAATTGTATTTTTCGATATTTTACACTACTTGGGTACATAAAATTATTTTTTCTAATTTTGACATATAAAGTGACATCTTTTGTAATCGCGTCAAGTGTTAAAACTATCTACTTTATGCAAGCAGAACATTATGCAACTGGTTACGAAAAGTTGATTATATCACCAGTTATGAAATGAAAATAAATAAAAATGCCTTTTTTGGTTTTTAAATCAAAATTTACATTGCTTTTAAACGTTATATCGAAGAATGAAAGGTTGGTAATATATAAAAATATATTTTGCCAGAAAACTTACGATTTGTAATTCTGGTTCCGTCGCTAATTCAAACAGTCTTGATACATTCTAAATTTGTACAAAATCATCAAAACACTGTTTTACACGATACTGCTGGCATGACTTATAGAGAAAAAAATTAAAAATATCAGTATCCATGTATTAGAAAATGAAAACTGTTTGTCCTAATATTTGAAAATTAAAAGTATCAGATTAGTATGAAGTTAGAAATAGTCATGTTAGATGATTTGACATTTACCTACAATAACTAGGTATTTATTTTCATAAAAAAAACCCTAAATACAGGATAATAACATGACTTTATTGTAAAGAAACACGAAAAAAAGTCTTATGATATGTAATTTAATGTTTAGCTAGCCCGACAACATAAATGGTTGAAATAAAATATCATTTTACAAGTAACTAACAATGCATGGAATAGGGATGGACGATATTTTATGTCACAGTGATTTTGTCACTGATATAATTACAGTAGTAATTCATGACATTAAAGTCGTGTCAAGACAAAGTGTTGTGCTGGAAACTGAAAAAAAAATCGAGTTAAATTACTAAGGGGATTCATGCCATTATTCCCTCATGAAAATAGTTACAAATGTCACTTGTTATTTCAATCTGTCGCCAATCGCCCCAAGAAGGATATATAGTGTGTGAGATAAAGTTGGATCCATAAGGGATTTTTTTTAAATATTACGATTGAAAAAAAAAACGTCGTAGGGTAAGCAAATACAATTTTCTGAAATATTTGATTGGAAGTACCTACCTACAAAAGAATGATGGTGAATCATTTTTTAATCAATCACAATTTTATAAATAATCAAGTCGAGATTAAGATTAAGATTTAATTAGGACTATGGGCCATGTGGCCTCCCCCACCTCGACCTTTTCAGATCTATTGTGGATATTCTTTAATCATTGTTTAGAGTACCTTGTCTAATTCGGTATTTTGTAGTAGACTCCATAGACTGGGAAGTAGTTCTCCGGTACAGCTAGTTGCCCTTGGTTTTTCTTCTCCAAGTGTAAGGAATCTCAGTCTTACTAGACCTTCGCAGTAGCACAATACGTGTTCTGCCGTTTCTTCTTCTTCTTCTTGACAGAATCGGCACAAGGCCTCTTCTGTCAGACCCATATTGAACATATGTTTGTTAAGCCTACAATGCCCTGTTAATAGACCTACTAGTATTCTAGTATTTTTCCTATTAAGGCTTAGTAGATGCTCGGTGAGTTTAGACGATGGTCCTTTTAAGAACTTTTTGGCCTGTCTCTGTCCTGGTGAGTTTTTCCACCACTCCTGAGATTTTTTAAACATCCACTGCTTTGTGCATGTTCTGATAGTTGTTTTTGTTACGCCACAGAAGGGTTCTGGGCCAATAAGAGCATTTGAGGCTCCTTCTCGGGCTAGTAAATCAGCCTCTTCATTGCCCTTGTGTCCCCTGTGGCCTGGTACCCAGGCTAAGGTTAGTCTGTTTTGACTACCCAGCTCTGTTAGGGCTTCCAAACAGTCCCACGCAAGCTTTGAGTGTACCTGCATGGAACTGAGTGCTTTTAACGTCGCTTGACTGTCTGAGTATATGACAATGGTTTTTCCATTTACCTTCTGTCTTAATACTTCTTTTGCGCAGTGATGTATTGCTGTTATTTCTGCCTGGAATACTGTCGCATGTTTACCTAAGCTCAGTGAGATTCCTGTCTTTGGCTTGGTACTATATATACCTACTCCTGAACCTTCATGGGTTTTGGAGCCGTCTGTATACCAGGTGAGATCTGCATGAATAGGAGGTCCTCCCGTCCACGCTTCCCTGTCTGGTATACTTACTTTATATTGCTTTTGAAAGCTATACTTTGGAAGCATTTGGTCTGAAGGCATTCCCATTGGTCGTTCTCCAACTCTTTATATAGCTCGCTGTAGTCGCGTCCATGCAAACTGCTTATGGGCGATGAACCTCTGTGCAGTCTGTATGTGACAGACCTGGCTTCGCCTTGAATGAATATATGTAGTGGTGTTAGGTTTAGCATGACTTCTATGGCTGCTGTTGGAGTCGTTCTCATAGCTCCCGTGGTACTCAGGCATGCTTTCCTTTGAATACCATTGAGCTGTCGAATGGCTCCAGCTTGCCGAGTCTTTGGCACCATACCACCGACCCGTAGGTTATCATCGGCCTTATGACTCTGGTATATAACCACAGGGACATTTTTGGTTGTAATCCCTAATTTTTTCCACACAACCTTCGACATAAGTTGAAGGACGTTGTGCTCTTTTGGGTGACTTTTTGCAAGTGTTGATTCCATGTTAACCTGTGGTCAAAGATGACTCCCAAGTATTTGGCCTCTTGAGCGAATGAAATCTTCACTCCTTTCAGTACTGGTGACTTTAGTCCTGTTGGTACTTTTCGTTTTGTAAAGTGGACTATTGTGGTTTTGTGAGGGTTTACTGTTAGTTCCTACTCTCTGCACCACTCGTCGACAATGTTTAGAGCGATTTGTGTGCGCTCCGATATTGTACCTGCGACCTTTCCTCTTACGACGATCGCCAGGTCATCGGCATACCCTAGGCAGTAAAAATCTGCAGATATTAGCCTTTTTATAAGTCAATATTAAAAAAAATCTTGTATATAACACGTTACGAAATGCCGTTTTGTGTAACGTGTTAAATTTACTTCACACCTTTTTTACAAAGTAAATATTTACTCGATACACAAAATAAGACATTTCGTAACTGGTTACATACATATTAGGAGATAGTCAAACATTAAAACATAATTCTAAACTATCATTTTTCTTTATTGTGCAATTACATATCAATTGACCTTTTTTTATAACTCGCAATTCGATTTCCTAATTGTATTTTTCGAATTTTCATACTACTTGGGCACATCAAAATTATTTTAGGGGGTGATTAAACGTTAAAACATAATTCTAAACCATTATTGATCTTTATTAAGTTTTTAGATGTTTTAAAAAACCAATGTTCGAACCGCTGCAGTTTTTCATTCCGTGACGTCACACCCTTCTTTAGCAATGGACAGAAGAGGCCCCCATTTTGTCTACGAACCGTGACCCACGGCTAAATAAGTCACTGGCTGTTGTGACAAACGTTGTGTCAATTGTCCAAATTGTTGAGGATAATTGTCACTGCTTTTTTTTTATACAAAAAATTTAAAAACGCTGGTTGAAAAAACCGCTTCAAGTACATTAATAAATATCTGGAAGACATTTCTAAACTTTGAATCAGCTTCACAGGTATTAGTACATAATATTATTTGTTCTTGTTTCTTAACTATTTTTAAAGCTTTCAAATGAGGTATTATTCGATCGTGTTTAATAACAATCTAAATGATTTCTTAATTTTGTTGGTCATGACAATGTCGATGCCCAGATTATTTATTATTTTTAATAATTTGCTCGGTATTACAAAGTAAATGATACACTATTTAAATTGTTTGTGCAACAAAATTAACACCGCCCGTGTTTATTTTCCAAAATACTTCGAATTCTCCCGGGCTAACAGGACAGGGGCGCCGTTCTGTACGGATCAATACAAGGATCAAGTAGCACAGTGTCACTTCCAGATGGTCGGTTCGGTTTACGCATGAGGAAGAGGGACGGAAAACGGCGGGATTAAGGTAAACTAGGCGGTGTTTTTATACTTCTTGTGATTTTGATCCTTCTCGTTATTGTTTTGTTTTAGACTGGCTTACTCGATCGAATTGTCTGCGTACTAAGTACACATTCTTCAATTCCGTAAGGGTTTTATGGGGATTTTTGGATTATTCACGTACTTGCTCTAAAAATTTTTTTCGATAGGTCTAATGTGTAACACGAAGTTCAATTTTCTAAATAAAAATAATATTTTTTAATGAATTTTTATGAATGAATGCTTACAATAAAATACCGTTTGAAGAGACTTATGGACTTGTGTGTTACGAAGTTTGGAAAATATTTAAAACTCGAAGAAACTTGTAATTAGACCTGTTAACTTCTCTGATGATGGAGATGTTTATTAATTGAAGGTGATATTGATTCTAAGCTGTTGTGTTGGGCAGAGATGCTCATGATTTTAACTGGCTTCTTCTCTTTGGAGAGAAAGATAACATCCAAGTCTAAAGCTGTAATCTCGAAACGTTGATTGGATATGCTGTTTGGTGCGTGGAGAGTTGTAAGGTGGCAAGTGGTGATCATTTGATACTTTTAAGGAAATAAAAAGACATAGATGATGTAGCAAATATATTGTGTCTAAATTTGTTTTCGTTTGAAAATTGAACGACAAGCGCGTGACTCATGAATTCAGGTATAGATCATTTTTTTAACGGAATAGCAAATTATTTCATTAATATGTTGTACTAAGGATTATTTACATGTTTAAATTATAATGGTTGAAGTAAATTGAATAGGAAGAAGGCTTACCTGGTACAATGGCGACAGTTTTGAGGGCTCGTAGTACCCTGAACGTTCGTAAGGCAGCTAGATTTCCAAGATCTATTCCCATTGTAACATAACTGAAAAATATTTAAGAAAAAAATCAGTAAAAAAATTCACAATGCAGTTGGCTAACTAGGAAGTCTCACTAAAAGCTGCGTAATTAATTTTATAAACACATTGTACAGTAAACAACACATTTTACGTTCATAATGCATATAATTTTTTTTAATTAATTTAATTTTGAACACTAATAGGAACTACATCAAGGTTCTATCAACAAATAATCATAATCACGTCTATTCTTAGGTAAATAATAGTAAAACTAAGCTATTTTCTAACAATTTTGGTAACCTAATTTTCTGTTACTTCACTGGGTGCTCCACTAAAAACTATTTTCCATTAATAATTATAGTAGTACCTACTTTGTTTCGAAATTTATGGAAAAATATATAACAATTAATTCGTTTTTAATGATCACCCTGTAAAATTGTCTAAGACGATAACGTAACTACTCAATTATTCTACTGTTGATTTAAGACAATTGTAAGTATAGCAGACACAAAACTCACTTAAGACTTAAAAAAGTATTTTAGATTTTTATGTAAAGTACATTATCTGTGAAAATAAAGACGTTATTAAAATAAAATACCGTTTAAGATTATATTCTTCTGTGTACGTTAAACTAGTACCGCTCTTGTGGTTAATTTATGAATTAACATACAGGGTGAATCTTAAGTTGGCACTTTTATTAACTGTGTATAGAAGTAAAAATAAACAACTTAAAAAAAATCAAAATTAAGAAACTATTTATTTCAAAATGTATTCAATAAGGTATATCAACCTCAAAGTCGTCGGTGATACGACAATGTTTGAAAATGTTAGATTATAAGAGCCTAAGGTGAAATAATAACATAATTCGTTACAAGACACAAGGTATACGTCCAAAAATTACTTGGGTTGTAATAAGGAGGAACATTTACTTATCGAATATTAATTAGATACGGTCGGGGAATATCAGAAAATTTATAAAGTGGGAAAGATGGCCCTAAAACAATTAACAGATTTAACCAGTATTTAACCAGGAGCGAGGTCGGGCCGGCTAAATGTCTAGTTCTTTGAGCTAAAATCTTGAAGTGATGCCAAAACGTCTTCATGAACTCCTAAGGGTTCCAGTCGAATCGACATACAATTCAGATAATGGCCAAATCAGTCAACGATGTTAGTCCTGCTAAATCACGGAACGGGGTAGATTTATAACGGATGAGTTACGGCCAGGGCCACCGACAGCCTGACCGGGCCCCAGGACAATTCTCCAGATCGGACACCGCGACAATTTTATAAAAATAAATAACAAAAGATAGTACCTTATTCCCGAAAAAAAAAAAAAAAACAGAAAAGCCTAAAATAGGATAAAGTAAACGTTTTAATTTGATTGGGCGTGTACATTCAGGCAAAAATAGTCTTACCAAATTTCAACATTGGCCGAAGACAGCAGAAGATCAGTCTGAGGATTTTATGGTTATGGAAGAAGACGAATTTGATGTGAATTATTTTTCATGATTACCTTCTTATATTTTTTGTGAAAGAAAACAGGTATTTTTACCTAGATAATAACATCGCTACTATCTATGTAGCCCATACAGTGGTTCACCAAAAGTACAAAACCGGTTTAACATAATTTTTACATTGTTATTAAAAAAAAAACGAATTCTTTGTAACAATGCTAGTTTTGTTCCTGTGGCTTTCAATTATTGTTATCAGATTACATTCTTTGGTCGCCGTAAAGTAGTAAGGTTTAGTTTATTTCGTTGTAGAGTCGGCATAAAAGTGGCATATCAGTAATAATGGTTTACTCAATTGCTGAGAGGGTGCAAATAATTTCACTCTTTTTGCGTATAATGAATGTGCTAATAGTACTGCCCAACTGTTTAACAATCAACATTAAAATCGACAAGTCCATCGAACGTATATTTTGGAGTTAGTCCAAAAATTTTGGGAAACGGGGTCAGTAGCTAACAAATAACGTGAAATGGAAAATGCTGTAGTAAATGAAGCACAGAGGTGGCGATTTAAGGACATGTTGTTCAAAAACCCACATTGAGTACAAGGCAATTGGCGCTAACAAGAGAAGTAGCATTCAGAAGATATTGAAAAAAAAAACACAAGTTTCATCCCTACAAAATACATCTGGTAAAAGAACTTAACGAAGACGATTTTGATAGGCGATTACAATTTTGTGAAATTATGACTGAACGGGCAATAAATGATCAGCAATTTCTTTTCAACGTGTGTTTTTCAGACGAATGCACTTTTTTTTAAATGGTACGGTAAATCGTCAAAACTGTCGTTATAGGTCCGATTCAAATCCCAGAATATTTCATGAAGTGCATAAGCAACATCCGGAAAAACTGAATGTTAGGGGCTGGCATTTTTGGTAACCGTATATTTGGACCCCATTTATCCAGCATTTTAAATTTATGGTAGTTAATAAATGTTTTATATTGTGTTTCTATAGTTAATAAATGTTTTATATTGTGTTTCTACTTATTTCATTGGTACTCTATAGCACCGCAGCACTACCTAAATACCAGTTGTGGCTGCACCGAGCATACAAGGTAGCCAGATATTCCGATTTAGGTAGGAGCTTCCAGCTTATCCAGCAATTGGACATTTTCTATTTTCCGCATAGAGGCTGTGCAGTGTGCACCCAAAGCAATTCTTGAGTTCCGGCGTCTATGATGGATACAACTGCATAAACTAATCAAATACACTATTTTTGAATATTTTTGTTAAATGTACTATTATGAACGTTAAATATCTGAAGGGAAGATGAGTCTGAAATACTGGAAATTGTTATATTTTTAAATTGTCGAAAACAAGTTTGTCATAAACAATAAATTAAAAATCATCGAACTGTCACTTGGAAATAAATCGGAACGTTGTTATCATAGTAACGAAATCAGGCAGACTGTATTATCAAACAGCGATCGGAAAAATAAAAAACGTCTACTTTCCAGTCTTGCTCGGCAAAACGTTATTTTCTGGACGAAAAATTGTTCAGAAAGGGTATATTTTGTGGTCGTTCTTAAAAATATTTTATAAAATATTTAATCCGTTCACGTATACTCATACTCAGTATAAAAAAGTAGGTGATGTTCGTATAGGCCACGAAAAATTAGAAAAAAAGTGAACATTGGTATGTTGGTCCAATTCGATGTCCTAACGATCTCCTTTCATTTGCTCCCGGGCTATTTGGCTTCGTTTTTTTGAGAAATCTTCACAAACAGCTCGTCTGATATAAAAAAACTCTAATCCTATCTTCATCTAAAGGATATTTGTGACAAAAACTACGAGATTTACTACCCTAGCATTTATAGTTTACCTTCTATAGCAGAGATTCCCAAAGTGGTCGATACCGACCCCTTGGGGTCGAAATCGGTCGACCTAAACCAAGCGCGTATAGGTTGTTTTCTTAGGGGGGGGGGGGTACCAATTTTCACATTATTGGTGAATGCGCAGCGTGTTATCTTAGAATATGGTACCAATGCAACGTCTGGAGTTCATATGCGTATTTCCAGAAAAACGAGTTTTATAATAAAGTTTTTAATTTTTTATTTATTTATACAGGGTGTTTCAGAATAAAGTATCGTAATTTTGGAAATCAATTATAAAGAAAAGCTAATTATAATTTTCCTATAAACTTCCCAGTTTTTATTCTACAGGGTGATAAAGTGAATTTCATAAATACATATTTTTTAAATATTTTCCCTTATTAGTTAACACACTATTTCGATAAATTACCATAACCCATTGGCGTGAAAAGAAGGGCTAAAGAAACAATTTTATTCAAAACACCCTATATTTCATAAAACTTAAAATTAATAATTATTTCTTACGCCATTTGTCACAAAAAAGGGACTTTTGGTTGATCTTTGTAGACTATTACATTTCCGAAGTGATAGAACTGATTTATTTTATACAGAGTGTTTTGAAACATGTCTTAAATATGGCTAATTTTAAGTTCAATTTACTCAATTTTGTCAAATGCAACACACTCTATATTATTTTCGCATAAAATTTCTTATAAATTTACATATCCAACGATACCAACATGTCCCAATAGTGCGTAATTGATCGATAGCTGTTTTATTATAGGAAAAACAAATAAATATAAAAGTGGTATGACCATGTTTAATAAATATTCTTAAATATACAGGTTGGTCCATAAACGAGGAGCTGACCAAACTTATACATTTTTATGTTTGTTTTCACATCTTTAAACAACTTTAATAGACTTCATTTATTTGCTATGTTGTATATAGGGTATTTCAAAATGAGGCGTAACGATTTTCACATTTTTTTAAATGGAATACCCTATATGTCATACCACCAATTAATTAATACAGGGTATTCCATTTAAAAAATTGAGAAAATCGTAACCTCACGTTTTGACACACCCTATATACAACATAACAAATCAATGAGGTCAACTAAAATTGTTAGACGATGTAAAAACAATCAAATATGTATTACTTACTATCTGCAGGGTGTTTTGCTTTAAAAAAGTATAGATTTGATCAGCACCTCGCTTATGGAGCACCTTCTATATTTAAGAATATTTGTTAAATATGGGCATACAACTTTTATAATAAATATTTCTTCGTATTTCTAATAATAAAACAGCTATCGATCAATTATGCACTGATAAGACACCCTATATATGTGTTATAGACACATTGGTATGGTTACATGGGCAAATTTATAGGGAATTTTATGCCAAGATAATATACAGTGTGTTGCGTTTGAAAAAATGTAACTTAAAATTAGCCATATTTAAGGCATGTTTCAAAACATTCTGTATAGAATAAACCAGTTGTATCACCTCTATTCGTTAGGTTAGTATATTAAACAATTTTGAAATTAATGTAAAACTATCTAAATTATGATAATTTAATTTGAGGTCTGCATCATTCTCTAATTAAAAAAATAGTTTGGCAAAACTGTAATATTTTTGAAAAATATTATAGGGTTAAATACAGTATTCCCAAACCATTCTAAAAATAAAATAAAAAATATAGGGTGTTCTATTTAAAAAAACATACATTTTTATTTGTCCGGCAAAAACACCCTGTATATCCAAAAAAACTTTTATTAAAACTTGTTTGCTTGTCAATAACACAAATTGAAATATTGAACAATTACAAACTAATGGGACCCTGTATATAAATTTTAATTTTCAATTTGCAGGAATATTATTATTTTAGATGACATGTTTGAGAAAATCTTTGTTTTATTGTATTTATTTTATCTCTCTATTTTTGTTTAATATAACGTTTAAAAAAATATTGATGTTGACTATGGTTTGGGGGTAATTACCCCCATTACCTCCCCTTATCTACGCCCTTGACCTAAACGAAAACTGACTTTGGGGGTCGACGAGGTCTAAAAATCAACCCCTGTAGTTGTGTTACTTGTATCAATTTGTTATTAGAATGACTAATATTTTAGTAGGAAGTATCTATCATTGTTGTACTTTCAAAAAACTCAACAAGTCGATAAGCATGGACAAGTTCGTGCAAGATAATGATTTCGAGCGTACAAGTCTTTCAGGTACGTTTTGACTTGCTCTATATTTGACGCACATACGCGATTTAACACGAACGAAATCATGATCAAGTTCAAGTCCAAACATGCTCCTGATATTTTACTATATAACAATCTTGCACTTAGGATGAAAATTCATTTACGTTTTGAAATTCGTTGGAGCTTGAATGATGATACACTCATCTACTAATTCATTTTAAGAGATTGAAATATAATTTACAAAGTGCTTGGTTAGCTACGCGCGTTAATAGCGTAACCATACATTTCTACAGTTTATGAAAAAAGTAACAGGGTAATTACCTTTTGTATTTGTGTATAAATAACGCAATAAAATTATATGAAACTTTATTCTCTTTTTGACAGATTGTTTTCTTTCATTCATAAAAAGACAACTAACTTAACAACAACGATAAAACAAAAACATACATAGGTTGTGGGTTTGGTTCCATGCTCTATGTCAAGTGTGACAACTCGCACTCTTTGAAAGCGTTAAATAATTAATTCCATGGTACCAATCTCAGTCTAGTCATATTCTTTCAAAGACATACACATTACCAAAAAAACGTTTTAATATTTTTCTAAGTATTTTAGAAAATTACTTTAAAAAAGTTGTTATCTAAAATTATAAATGTTTAGTTTTCTTTGTTTTTGTTTTTGATGCTGATTGGTACCTAATACAAATTTTCTATACTATAGTGACTATATCCAAGTTTATCAATGAGTAAGTTCGTGAAAATACCTTAAAAATATCCGGTGCCTAGGTGTGATAAAAATAAGCTCGTGACACTAATTTTTTTATGTTTTTATCTTTACTTTGCGATTTTAATGTTTTTTTTTAAGAAACTTGTATTAATAATTATTAATTACACTTGATATTTACTGAATATTTTTTCTATTTATTTTGTTAAATTTTGATGAGAAAATGATGTCAAGTTAGTAAGTATTTTGTGTCAATAGGAAAAACTAGAGATAGAATTTTTAAAGTAATTTGGCTATGGGGGTCTGAGATATCAGTTCATTTTGGAAAAGGGGTCTTAAAATATCAAAATCTAGAGGGTAAACTAGTAATACTAGTGTACTACTGTCGCAGGTTTTTTTGTCACAAATATTCTCTAGATAAAAACTGGCCGTTTGAGCAGAGTTCTCAAAAAATCTTTTTCTTTTTGTTCAATTAATGCAAGCCAGATAGTCTGAGAATAAATGAAACGGGCTCATCAGGATATCAAAATGGACCAACATACCAATTTGTAGATTTATTTTAATTTTTCACAGATAGCCCTTTTTCTTAACGCTTCATTGCTTGGATTAGAAATTCAAAACGTAAAATTTTACAGATCCCTGAGAAAAGAGAAATATCACTGTTTCTAGATTGGGCGATTGAATTAAAACTAAATATTTATTAAACGTTCTGTTATTAATAATTTAATTTATATTAGATATATACAGGGTGTCCTAGCTTTTAGTTTACAGGCTCTAAATATTTATTCTGTATATTTTGCAGAAAAAGTTCATTGGGTGTGAATGTAAAAGGCCTTATGATCATGCATTTTGATTACAATAATTGATTCAAATGTAAACAAAACAAAATTTTATGACGTTAATTATACAAAATATTGACTGGCTTCAATTTTTTAGATACATAAGACCGTCGTCACAGCCGCCTAGACCATCAGAGATCAGTGATTTGTTTTTAATAAATTTCAAAACTAAGACAGTAAAAAAATTGTTTAAACAATAGTATATTATTAAACGAGCAATTTATGGTAGCCATTATTTACGCAGGGTGACGTTTGCGTCCCGAGCCGTAGGCACAAGTCAACTGAGTGAATAATGGCCATAAATTGCGAGTCTAATACTATACTTTGTTCACGACCATTATGGTTTCTTTATTAAATAAAAGTTAAGTGTAGAATAGAAAGTTTTTATTAAACATAGGTAACTAACTGTTGTTTTTTCGACTTTTCGATTTTTCGTTTTCATCGATTTTTCGATTTTTTTTCGATTTTTCGTTTTTTTTTCGATTTTTTTTTCGATTTTTCGAATTTTTTTCGATTTTTCGATTTTTTTTCCATTTTTCGATTTTTTGATTTTTCGATTTTTCGAATTTTGGATTTTTCGATTTTTCGATTTTTCGATTTTTCGATTTTTCGATTTTTCGATTTTTCGATTTTTCGATTTTTCGATTTTTCGATTTTTCGATTTTTCGATTTTTCGATTTTTCGATTTTTCGATTTTTCGATTTTTCGATTTTTCGATTTTTCGATTTTTCGATTTTTCGATTTTTCGATTTTTCGATTTTTTTATTTTTCGATTTTTTTCGATTTTTTCGATTTTTTCGATTTTTCGATTTTTTTCGATTTTTTTTCGATTTTTTTTCGATTTTTCGATTACCTATAAAGAATATTTTCATATCAGTTTAGACATACGTCCTGTCGTGACGTCATACTGTGACTAATGGATCATTATTCACTAGTGAATAATAGGTATTATTATTCTTAAGGAAGTACAAGTATAATGAATGTTTTATAGAACAGTCGTGGACAAAAGTTATTTATTGTTTCTTCATAAGCAATTAGATGCATTTAAAAATAATGCTTCCATTAAACAAAGAACAAAATTGACCTTCAAATGATCTTGAAGATCACGAGTAAGCAAAAACTAAAGTACATCATTTTGTAGACTTAATAAATTAAAGTAAATTTTACTTAAAAATTTTCTGCTAAATCTACAGTGAGTAGTTAGAGCCTGTAAACTAAAATTTGGAGCAAATAATCTTTCCATCTATAACATTAACAGGGGTAATATTCTGAGAGAAAACTAATAAAATACAACAAATTATTTTAATTTTACGCTCACACTAATTGTATCTCACGTATTAGTATACCCTCTATATGGTTTTTGCCTATGCCAACGTTTGCGAAAGATTTACTTAAATCTTGAGTTGGACATTTTATTAATTTATAATAATAATAATAATAATTTATAACGTATAATAAATATAATGTTCAGATTTAAAAAAATATTACAACATATACAACATCATCTCTGTTTTTAGATCTTCAATATCTACCTAAATGTAGCTGTGATGGTCCTAAAACTGCCATTCTAATACGAAATTTCAAATTTTAATATTCACAATATTTATATAATATTTAACTAGTTAGGAATAATATATTATAATATTTATTACTCTAACATAAAAAAATAAAAGATAATTAAACAATTTAGCAAATAAAACGAAAATAATAAAAAATAATTGAATAATGTGAGTACCGTTTTCACAACAATAATCATTCTCGTTTTCTCCTATTTAATTAAAAAGTCTGACGCATGTCTCAGAGAGTTTTAGCACACGGATCTGTGTCGATCGGATGGGGTGAATATTGTATCTTAGACACGTATCTAATAGTAATATTGGGATATTTTAAAGCAATCTACTTAATTATTTAGTTTGCCTTATTAAAAATAGACGTATAGATCAGAACTATTACAAATGATTTTGGCGAGGCACTGCTTCATCTGCCTCATATGCACCTTTGGGCTGGATCCTGCAAAACGTACCCTATCCTTAATGCATTAGTTGTTATAAAAAAATTAGAAAAGTATAAATCACTGGCTTTTTAAAATGTTTATACTGAATTAAGAAAAACAACCAGTTTCTATCATTTTATAAAATATGGTGATGTAATAAAATATAAATGAACTATTTCTAGGAGGTACTGAATGATTCTAGGTCTAGACTAGTCTACTCACGCTAAAGCTATGACTACGAAGTCGAGCCAGTTCCATGCATCTCTAAGGTAGGTGAACGGTTGAAGTATAAAACCTCTCGCCATCACCTTCACAGCTGATTCAAACGTGTAGATGCCCGTAAATATTACTCTGTAAAGAAAATTATTGTCTAATTAATTCTACACTATTCAACATAATTAATTTTAATCTAATTTTAATTAATAATATAGTTCAGCTACTGCTAAGAGAACACCAAAAGTTTACTTACTCCGTTGATTCTACGGTGGGAGTAGTAGGCATTATCATTAGGATACAGTTGACAAGGATAGTGGTAATGATAAAAAGTGAAAATAACGGATGAACGAGAATGTAGATGGCCACTCGCCGGATTGGGTTGAATGGATCAAGAATCCAAAGGGCGTTTGTTGCACTAAACCGAAAAATGTCCTTGCCTTTACTTACAACTACGAAAGTCTGAAAATAAAATTTTAAATTAATTAAAAGTTCAGTAAATCATCCAAGATTAACTGCATAGATATCTTTAAAACTTTTTTAAAACATTTCTAGTCCAGAAACAGCAGATTTGCAATTTTTATCTCATGCGCAAGTAATTCTTCGAATACAGTGTATTTGTTGGTGTGTTCTTACTTAGAAAAAGCTTTTATAAGTCTATTCCCAATTTCCTAGTGAAATTGTAAAATGTTGAAGTATAGCTTTCCTATAACGCTATAGTTTGGAGTCCAGAATTCTATCACCTTATCATGAGTTTAAATATCTTTGATCACACGTCTAAGTAAATAAATGGTTTTAAATAGGTCCATATTTTGCATTGGCTCCAGATAGAATCCCAATTTTTGGGGTTTATAATATCTTTAAGTGACCTTGAATTATGTATAAGCACCAAAAAATAAATACTTACCGTTTGATTGTGGTAAAATGGATCGATGTCCTCAAGTGGTGTACTGGCCAGTTCAGGAGGAAAACTGCCTTGGAGCCGTACCGGAATAGGGAGACCCTGCTCCAGAGTCGCATCGGGTTGGGGACCTTCATCTTCGTCCTCGTCCTCATACCGAATCTGTGACATAATTATTTTATTTATAATTTGTAATAAACGTTTATGAAATAAAACCACCTTATTATGAAGACAATCTTATATTCGGTTTTAATCGAATTAAAAAATTTAAATTCTTGGTTGGTACTGCAATCTAGAATATTTCGTGAAGGGCATGTTTGGATTCAATACGAATTGTATGGGGATTATATAAAGTAGAACTAAAAAATTTTCTATACTAGATGCTAGCTAAAGTTTAACACAACTTCTGCCCTACAGTTTAACTATTTTATAACTACCTGATATTTTAAATTCTCAGTTCATGCGTCCGAAGATATTTAAAGCACCTAAAAGAATCAATAAAATCTACATTTTTTTCTGAAATAATATCATATGAATAAAGTCTGTTTCGCTGGAACAAATATGAGGAACAGTTTGATTGAAATCAAGGATTTTTTTCAACTAAAAGACGCCGTTTTATGCCATACTGTTTCAAATGACATTAAGGTAAGAACTATGGAAGGCGGAGAAAGAACAGTTACGTTGTGGTCACCAAATCAATTTCTTGAAGTTTGGGAATTGGAATTTTCGAGAAGATTTAACTTTACGATACTTGGTAGGCTGTTTCGCAGCATTAACGCTGTCATTAATAAATTTAAAAAAGCCTTATCCTGAAGTTGAAGTTAATTTGTCCCAATGTATACAATATATCCCAGATTGGTGCCACATGTGTTGCTATCTCGGTTATTATAAGAGCTACACAATCGGTTAAATGGGCAATGTTTCTCGCAAGATTCTATTATCATTTCAGAACAACTATTAAAATTATCAATTGTTTTTGGTTTTCAAAATAATCGCGATAAACAAAAATGGTGCGTTTTTGGCAAATCCCTGTATCTTAGTATCATCTGTTACCATTTTCGAGATAATGACTGTAACTATTTGCTTTTCTTATGGACGCCATAATGTTAACTTATTAGTTTTTTACGAAGATATTGAAATTACTCTCGAAAGAGACAACAACAATCTTTGTCTCAACACTCAAGTTAACCTCAACATAAATTTCATACCACTCTATAATGTTATATTACGAGTCCCTCAAAATAAGCTTTCCATAGCCAAAAACAAAGGGAAGAAAATAAAATTTTACGTGAAAGTTTAAATCACTGCAGAAGTACAACAACTGAAAAGAGCTATATAAAAGGAAACAAACTGCACGTTGGAAGTAAACAATATACAGTGGAAGATTTAAAAGAAAACGATTATAGTAAGAAAGAAGAAAAATCAAATAGTGCTCTACCAACCCCTATTGCTAATTTAAAGCCTGATAAAGAATTGACAATCACTCAGCCAACACTTACAGAAACACCCAAAAATAAAAATATACTATTGCAGAAATCTGTAGAGCCTTGTAATAAGAAAGACGAGAAGCCAAGAGAAGGAATTAAAGTTGATAAACCACCGAACAAATCTGTTAGTGGACAAGTTGTAAGAGAAAAATATAAAACTCGATTAAATTCAAATTCTAATAATTCTAAATAATTTTCACGAAGCCCACATACTATTTTTAAATTTCTTTGGTCCAGATTGTATTAATTTTAGTTACTATTGTATATATATTTTTATGGTGTCATTTATCATAAAATCAGATTATATTTTTGTGTATTTTAAAAAGTAAAAATGGATTCATATTTGCGCGACTTTGAGATAGATACTAATAATAATAATAATAATAATAATAATAAAGGTTTTTATTGACTGTTAATTACAAAGAGACAAATAAAACAATAATTCATGTAGATACATTGATATTTCACAGTCAAAAGGCAGAGTTCAGATTTCTTGGGAGGATTCTGTCGAATCTTCCGTAGAATCTCCGTAGAATCTTTTACTTTTATATTAGAAAAATATCATGAATGTAATACAGTTTTAGAAGTGAATAAGGTAAATCATAATTTCACGATTTTTCATAACAATATACGGAGTCTACGTAAAAATTTTGATGAATTTAAAATATTATTGCAAAAAGGTAAGTTTGATTTTGATTGTTTAGTGTTAACTGAAACCTGGTACTTAACAGACCCGAACTTTTACGATATGCCTGGATATAATTTAATATACAATCAAGGGCAACACAATCAAAATGATGGGACAATAATGTATATTAAAAATATTTTTTCATTCAAACATTCTGTGTCGCGGGAAGTGACAGTGTCTTCGGGTGTACCTCAGGGTTCACATATTGGCCCTATTTTATTTTTGTTATTTATTAATGATGTAGTGTCCTGTTTTAAAAATTCTCATTGTCTCTTATATGCTGACGATTTAAAAATTTTTAATATTGTGGAACCTAATTATAACGCCCTACAGTCTGATTTAGATCAATTTGTCTCTTGGTGCAGTTCTAACTATTTAGAACTAAACATATCAAAATGTAAAGTTATATCATTTTACAGACGTTCTAACCCCGTCGAAAACTCATACATTATTAATAATATTACGCTGGAGAGCGTCTCCACATTTAATGATTTAGGGGTAATATTCGACAGGGAATTATCCTTTTCTTTACATGTTGATACTATCATTCTGAGGGCGTTTAGGCTATTAGGATTTATAAAAAGAAGCACAAAGCATATACAAGACACTAAAGCAATAACATGTTTGTACAGTGGTTTGATCCGAAGTATTTTAGAGTATTGCAGTACTGTTTGGTCTCCGTCACAAGCTATGTATGTCAACCGAATTGAACGAGTTCAAAACAAATTTTGTAAATATTTGCTATTTAAATTTCGCTTTCCATATCGGGATTTATCGTATGAAACGAGACTGCTACTCTGTGGTATGCAAACTCTTGAACGGAGACGCAGGGATGCAATGTTACTTTTGCTCTACAAAATAATTAATGGAGACATTATTTGTGAAAAATTGTTATGCCAAGTAAATTTTGTTGTTCCGTTAAGGCATACTCGACAGTCACAACTATTCTTTGAGAAAACCCACCGTACAAACTATGGACAAAGAGCTTTCATGAATAGGCTTTTGTGCAACTATAATAAGCACTATTCTCACTGTGATATTTTTAATTGTACGTTATTATCTGTTAAGAGGATGCTCGAATTTTAAAATTTTAGGTTGTTTTCTTGTCTTGTATGGTGTTAGACTTTGTTTTTTAGACGTTAAATGTATTTTAAAATTTCTGAAGAGTTTTGATATTTATATATTCCGTTTTTTTTATGTATATATAATTATACTTTAATTGTTGTTTTAGCTTTAAGACTGTGCCATTTGGAATTCATATTTCTGTAGTGTACTTAAGACAAATAAATAAATAAATAAATAAATAATAACTAAAGGAACTATAAACTTCCTAAAAGCAGAAATTGGTAACGAAAATATATTAATTACTGCTTGTTATCGATCACCATCATCTAACGCTGATGATTTCTTACAAATTTTACAAGAATATTTTGAAGAAAATCAGTCAAAAAAATACGAATACAGCATTTTTCTTGGAGATATAAATATAAACATTTTAGAAAATAATTACAATAAAACGGAGTACTTGAATATACTAAATAAATTTGGATACATATCAAAGATAAACAAACCTACTAGACAAAAAACTTGTATAGACCACATTTTCCTTAAACCAAAAAAATATGAGTCGATTGATATGACCATCCCAATAATATTTAAATCAAACATTACCGATCATGATTCAATTATTCTGCAAGTCGTTTTTGAGGATGAAAGAAAAAAATCAATGATCACAAAATATAAAGAATTCATAGATTACCCTAAACTTACAGAATTATTTAAGAACAATTCGTGGGACTCCATTTTCACACTAGAGGACCCAAATAATGCAGCAAATAATTTTATTACGGAAATTAAAACAATGATAAAATATTGCACTACAAAAAAACTATGTACACGAAAAAACACTAGCTTTGCACCGTGGCTCACAAATAGCCTATTAAAGTTAATAAATAAAAAGAATAAAATGTATAAAAAAACGATTTTACATCCTGAAAATATTTTATTAAAAGGACGAATATACGTCATTCAAAAATAAACTTACAAATGAATTAAAGAGAACTAAACAAAATTATTATAAAAAACAACTTGAAAAAAATAAAAATAATTCAAAATATTTGTGGAACACGGTACAAGGACTTTGCGGAAGGAAAACTAAAAAATGTAATATTGAAAAAATTATTAACAACAATGGAGTTTTATTAACTACTAACATGCAGATAGCTAACGAATTTAATAAACAATTTGTCAACTTTGGGAAAAAGACGCTAAGTATAAATGCAAATCAAACACTTTATCTAACTCAATGCTACTAACACCTACAAATCCTAAGGAAATATTTAATCTCATTAATGTTTTAAAAAATAATAAATCTCCAGGATCTGATGAAATTAAATCAGAGCTTTTAAAAAAGTATCCTATCATATCTCAGATCCATTAGCTTACATAATAAATAAAAGTATTGAAAAGGGAATATGGCCTGATGCATTCAAAAGCTCTATTGTAATACCTGTTTATAGAAATGGAGATAAAACATCTGTTGGTAATTATAGACCAATATCATTGATTAGTCATCTGGCTAAAGTTTTTGAAAAACCTATAAAAAATAGGCTATCATCATTCATAAATCGATATAATCTTTTGTCAAATAAACAATATGGATTCAAAGAAAAGACCTCAACTGTGGACGCTATTTTAAATTTAACAAAAAATATATACAAATCGCTGGAAAATGGGAAACCTTGCTTATGCCTATTTATAGATTTAAGTAAGGCTTTTGACACGGTAAGTCATCCGTTGTTAATCCAAACCCTAGAAGATGTGGGGATCAGGGGAAACGTTTTAACTCTTTTTAAAAGTTATCTATGTACAAGAAACCAAGTTGTAAAAGTAGAGGATAACATAAGCGAAGAGGCATCTATTGAATATGGTGTACCACAGGGCACAGTCCTAGGGCCTATTTTGTTTAATCTGTATGTGAATCAGCT